TAAGAGATATAAATTAAAATTATTATTTATTATCTTATAAGATTGTCTAACCAATAAGTTACGATGTAATGATTTTTGTTTCACCTAATATGCTTTCATCTAAAATCAACAACTATATATACTATCTAAAATGTGTTATCTTGATAGATACCTATTTGGAAAAAAAATATATATATATATATATATAATATTATAACAATAAAAAATTTAATTTCAATAAATTTAATTTCATATTCAACATTTTGTAAATTTAGTCTCACTAAATTGAAATTGAACATTAAGATATTTTGTTATAAGAAATATATTTAAAGTATTATGTTATTTTAAGTTATTTAAAATATATAAATTTTTAGTTAAAATATTATATGCTTATCATTTGGATAAATTGTCGATTGCCAATTGTGCACGGTAAAAGTTTTTTTTTTTAAATAGAAAAATCATGTATTCAATACAAATATTTTATGATATATTGTAATATATAAATACATTTTACAAAACTAGTAAATTTTACTTTAATAGATTTTTTTTTCTTTTTTTTTTAAGAATCTAATACTTTTTTTACATCCTTAAAATATTCTTTTAAAAACTCAATCAACATATTACCTTTAATTTATAAAACAGGTAAACTAAATCAATTATTTAAATTGTTCATACGAATCAAATAAAGTATGTACCCTCATTTCCTTTGTAACAATTTAAGCACTTCTCTTGTACATATATATATATATATATACACACACATACATATATAGGTAAATAGGCACGTAGGTATAGAAAGTAGTAAATGGTGAATAGTTTGTTTTTGGTTTGAAATTTAAGAAAAGAGGGAAGGGGGTACCGACAGCATCTGAGTTTAAAGATGAGTAATAAATTGGGAGTAGAAAGAAGTATGGGCATTTGAGAGAGTGAAAAAGAAGAATATGTATTTATTAAGGCATGTGATGGTAGCATGTGATGGATTGGTTAATTAAATTAAATTTAAAAAAACCATTTTATTTTACTAAATAAATTTTTAATTTAAATATATATATTCATATTATTTATATTATTATTTATTTTTTTTTAAAGACAAGACTGAGAAAAAAATTAAACAAAAATGAAAGAGACACTCAATCTCACACACTGCATCTGCATGGTCACTCTGTGCACGTTCCCCTGTTCCCCCTTCACTATCACTATATCAATCTCTTCTCTTCCGTCAAACCCACTCTCTCTCTCTCTCTCTCTCTCTCTCTTCTACTCACTGATTTACACTACAAAAATGGATATGTATGGATTATCCTCGCCGGATTTATTCCGCATTGATGATCTTCTTGATTTCTCCAATGACGATCTTTTCTCCGTCTCTTCCACAGCCGGCGCCAATTCCTCTCTCGAAACCATCACCACTACCACCTCTAATTCCCTTCCACCGCAAAACCCTACTGCCCCTTTCATCACTTTCCCTTCTCTCTCAACTGACTCCGCTTACGACCTCTGCGTCCCGGTCACTACTTCTTTGCTTTTTCCCTTCTCATTTTGTTTTTTCTTTTGTGTTTTGGGAAAAATAATTTCGTCTTCTTGCTGGTTTTGTAGACTGATGATGTAGCGGAGCTTGAATGGTTATCGAGATTTGTGGACGATTCATTTTCTGATTTCCCGTCTAACTCGGTTGTCGGATCTGATACGTCGTTGTTTCCGGGCAGAGCACGCAGCAAGCGATCCAGAGCGACGAGCTGGACGTTGTCGCCGGAAGCGAAGGGGAATAAAGAGCGTTCTCACCGGCAATCGTCGCCGGAGGGAGGGGTTCGTCGGTGCACGCACTGCGCTTCCGAGAAGACGCCGCAGTGGCGGACGGGTCCTTTGGGTCCGAAAACTCTGTGCAACGCGTGTGGAGTTCGGTACAAATCGGGTCGACTTGTACCCGAGTATCGACCCGCCGCAAGCCCGACGTTCGTGCTGACTCAGCACTCGAACTCTCACCGAAAGGTGTTGGAGCTCCGGAGACAAAAGGAAGTGTTGAGGCAGCAGGAGCAAAAGCATCAAGTGTGCTGACGTGTTTCAATCTCCACCGTCTGATCTGAGATCATGTACTGTTTGGATGAATAGTAACAAATTCTCTTTATTAATTTCCCGCATAAATCACAAATCCCAAAATCAAATCTTTCAATTATTAGTGTCTTTGGAATATAAATGAATCCACAAATTTGTGATTTATTTATTTTAAATTTTTATTAAAAGCTTTTTAAAATATAATTTAAAATACAATAACCACACTTACAAAATTTATCAACATCCGTATGTTATTATGTATGAAAATTAATTATTTAATAACTATTTCATCTAATTAATTTAATTTGAAAATTGGGTTTTGATCTGCTTCTTTAATAAGAGTATTATTTTTTTGAGTTAAATTAATTTTAATTAAAAAAACAAATTGTATCGCTATGTATTTAAATTTTATTATGAGTAATAAATATATATAATAAATCTTGTTATGAATAATAGATGGGTCTCACATTTCTTGAATTATATTACACACAAGTCTTTTGGCACTCTCTCTAGACTTTCGTTTTCTAAGCCTTTAATATGTATTTGCCTAACATTCAAGTTATAGATCTCAAGGTGTGCTTTTTTACTTCTTCTGTAATAGTCCCAAAATTTAATTGAATAGAAATATTGAATTAATAAAATATAAGCGGAAACAATTGAGAATTTTAAGATTATATTCCTTACACAGTTAAATCAGAATGCGCAGTAAAACTACATGAATGTCTGTTAAAGCATATTAAAGTAATAGAAATAGAAATACAACTAGAAAACTATAGAATCGTCCTCCGCAATGCAACTTTGATGGAAAATGAGAGACAACCTTCAGTCACTAACTTTCTTATTGTTTAATATCCAGATCTCGGTCATCCTGATCTAAAATAATTAAATAAGGGGAATGAGTTATACTATCCCAGTAAAAAAAATCAATACTTAACAACCGATACGAAAAACTAAATGTTGATATAAATTACAAAACAATAAGAAAGTTGAATTTTTGGTAAATTCATTTAATTTTAAAAATGTAGTTCATACTCACATTTTAGGTTCTCAAATACGACTTGTGAAGACAATAATCAAGATAATAATTTATTAGATATTCTAAAAACAATGATAATCAAACTTTAATTTTTCATTCACTTATCAGTATCTCTAGGGGTCCATAGAGGTTTCTCCTACACGTGGACGCAATATCCAATATATTAAATAACCGGCCGTATAACGACCCGAAACTTAAAAAGAATAGAATCATAAATTGAATGCGGAAGTAAAATAATAGAGTTAGGATTTACATTCCTTACATAATAATTTAGAATACCAAATAGGGCTACGAGAATGACCATTCTAAAAGAACAAACGAAAAATTAAAGAAATAAATGGAAAGTAAACAAGTAGGCATCATATTCACAACCCTCTCGTAGATCGGAATCTGCATCTTGGTCCTCTTGATTTGAAATGATTAATGAAAGAGTGAGCTATACTAACCCAGTAAGAATCTCATACAACTCACCGATACAGAAATGAAGGTTGGTAAAAATCATAAAAACAACTAACGAAGTTCTTAAATTAAGTAAATTTATTTATCATAAATAAAATAAGTTATAGCATACTTATCGTAGCGAGATTTTCAAAAACTGACCTATAGAGACAATAACACAAACAACATCATAATCTCATATTCAATTAGCCAGAACAATAACTTTCTCTTTTTATTTGCTTACTGGTATCCTTGGGGATCTATAAGGATGTCCCACAATGCGTGAACTAATAACGAAACTTGTCAACTAACTGGCCATCCCCATATCCCGTCTGGTATGAGCACCAAAAGTACCATCCCTCAATACTCCGTCTGGTATGAGGGTGAATCGGGCTGTCCCCATACCCCGTCCGGTATGAGTGCCAAAAATATCTTTTCTCGATACCCCGTTCGGTATGAGGTAACGTTCATGGTTGGGCTTCCTAAATACCTGGTCCGTTCATTATCTCCCAAGATATCCAGTAAGACAACTATTTTATTCATTCGCTTGGCCAAATAATTTTCTGTTTGTATTTAATTTTCAGTTTTACAATTTAACTGTAAATCACGTAAGACAAGCAATACATGCATCAAGAAAACACAACCGAATCATCTTACCAATTCTAGTGTATTATCATGCATTTAAAATTATAAAATCAAATAATCAGTTGAAACAGACATAATGATAATAACCAGTTCTGTCTCCATTAGTAATCTATATTAATTATCGAAGTTTTCAAATTACGCAATACCGTAT